CATACATTTATATCAAAAAAATGTTCCAACAAAACACTGATTAGAAGACAACAATTTGACTGATCTTTCACATATGTTCTATACACAACTCCATATTATTACAAGACTTAGACACATCTGAACCATAATCATTTTATTGCGGAAAAAATTAGTATCTGCATAGGATAATTTGGTTAACCGTTCTCAGACATGGTTCCCTTAAGGTATCGAAACTATTTGCAACGTTTTCGGGGCGATGAGCGAGGGTGACAAGCTCATGCTCGCTTATCGCTTTGGGCGACCAGATGTCTCAAGAATGCCTTGTTCAGACAATCCCGGGCTATTGGCGAAACATGCTGTACAGTAACGAAAAAAAGAAAAGACAAATGAACTGTCACTTGGAAGACGCATAAACCTATAATATACTACTGAAAAAAAAATAAAGGCTCTAAAAAAATTTCCGAATTTTAATGATGTTCAGAATACCGTACCTCAGTGAAAATGGCCGTAGATTTAAGGAAAAGTAAATTGAAGCTAAATAAACAAGCTATCCGGTCCATACATATCGCTTAGTTGAATTAATCTTTTTGAAGCCCGTAGACTTGAAAATAGGAGAGAACAAATTTGCAAATCTTTTCTCACGCTATTTCTTAAAATTGAAAATATTTTTGCCAAAGATCTTAAAACTAGAAACTTGGAGCTCAAAACCTAGATATGACCATTTGTCTTTCTGAAAAATCATTAAAAATTCGGAAGGTTTGTTTGACTCTTTAATTTATTTCATTAATGTATATTCTCATTTGTCAGTTGTACTTTGGAAAACGGCCACTATCGAGACCGAAACTTCAGTAAAAAAGTAGTTTACACATATGTGGTTGCATTTGGTCAGATGATGATGGAGTCCTATGATTACACAATGTTTCAAAAATCGCATTAATAATGAATAGGATTTGCTAATCCCGTAAGTCGAACAAAACCCACATGGCTCAAAGAAACGTTGAATCAAATCGTTCTATATCTCAGCATCAGCATCTTCACCAAATCTTCCCGAAATCCTTTCGGGTACGCGGCAAATCCACAGCGGCAACACCAGCTCCTTGCTGCTCGACGGTGACGCCTTACCGCTCATCGTCAGATGTCGGTTCGCGTGGGCGGCATCTGCATGGGGATGCCGAGAAGAAGGACGCCAGAAGTGTGATAAAGGTCGCTCAATACCACCGCTCTAAGGAAGACGCATATTTCCGCCCAAGGATGTCCGATACGAATATATTAACGGATTCAAATGGATCAGAAGCCAAGCGCAGATGTTAACATTGCATTGTTTGTCGCCAAAATGTAGTATTATTGCGTTCTTTTGGCTAATTTATCTACCATAGCTTACCAAAGTGACAAACCTATACACCGGCGTACATACTTTTATCTGGAAAGGATATTCAAGTAGCTATTTGTACTCACCAAGAGCAATAAGGCAGGAATATTTGTACTGTGTTGTGATGCGACTCGTTCAGTTACTGTTAATAAACAGGGAATTAAATCAGGCATGGAAAGGAAAATAAATATTCATTAAGTGTACAGCATATATGAACAACTCTGCTTAATTCGTTGAAAGCTGAACAATACGGAAAATTCTCTCCCTCAATCAACAACAATGGAGGGATTCCTGATATTGGCTTGGATTTTGTAAATAGTTGGTGGTGATTGGAACAGATTTTTGACTAAAAGCAAATACCTAGTTGAGCATAATATGAAAAGTTTAATTCAATTATATATATATATATATATATATATATATATATATATATATATATATATATATATATTTATATAGGTGAAAAATTAAAGCTTCCGCCTTTTGTTGGGTACTTCGACAAAATTTAAGCAAAGAGGACTCTTTATACTTTTTTAATTCTCTCTAGCTTTCAATGGACTTTGCCATCATCATCAGGAGCTGCAATTACAATGATAACAGTAGCAACAAAAGTGTAAAATGAATTTAAATTGAATCAACTTACAGTAGTATGTGAGGATGTTGCTAATTGTTGTTTTCGTATAGGATGAGGTAAACGTCCAGTAACATGGTGAGAGCTGGATACATGGTACAATGGTTAAAATTATATAAAATATGATAAGACAAGTTAAAGATAGATTAAAAATTATTTAGAAAACATTAGAGCATTACGTCGTGAAGCCACTTGATGATTGCACAAAATGGTGGTCATGGAATAATGAGTGAGATGTATTATATTGTACCATGTATCCAGCTCTCACCAGGTTACTGGACGTTTCCCTCATCCTATACGAAAACAACAATTAGCAACATCCGCACATACTACTGTAAGTTGATTCAATTTAAATTCATTTTACACTTTTGTTGCTACTGTTATCATTGTAATTGCAGCTCCTGATGATGATGGCAAAGTCCATTGAAAGCTAGAGAGAATTAAAAAAAGTATAAAGAGTCCTCTTTGCTTAAATTTTGTCGAAGTACCCAACAAAAGGCGGAAGCTTTAATTTTTCACCTAACTGGTCTAGACGACAATGACCACGTCTCAAGAATATATATATATACAGGGTGGCCCATCCTTGTGTGGAAAGAATATTACATAAATAAATACATTTTGGGAAAATCTATGTATGACCTGTTATACATGACATTTGAGGGCACATTTCTAAACTATTGGCAATTTTACAGGGTGTCCCAATTTTGACCTACATATCAAAGTTGTGATTTTTTAAATGGAATACCTCAAATTTTATTGCATATTTGGATAAACCAATTCAAAAGAAAAAGATTGATATAACATACTATGGGGTTTTGGTAATTAGCTACTGAGATGTAAGGTGTTTTGTCCAGAAACAACGTCCACATCGGCAACCCGTCAATCCGCAATTTGAAATTTGGAGTGCTGAATTTTATATAAAAAAAACTTACACACCTTAGCTTTTATCTTATTTGTTACTTTATCGAATTTTTATTTTCATACAGGGTGGTCAAAAACGCGAATCGTACTTTTTCTCAAAAATTTCAAATGAACCACCCTGTATATTTGTGCAAGTTTGGATTAAATTTTGTATAAGCTTTTTTTGGTATAAGGTTTGATTCAGATAAAATCACTAGATTTTGAGTTATTAAGCTTTTAATAGATTAACACACCAAAATTAAGGAAATAAATCACATCATCCATGGAAACAAAAGACAAACAGTGGGCTAGTTCCATATTGCCACTAAGAGTACAGATTTGACGTGAAAACTAATAACAGTCAGAACAGTATAAATCAGCTTCAAGCGTAATAAAGAAAAACAACTATAACGACAACATAAACAACTATCACTACTCAAGACCTAATCTAAAAAACTGCTTGAAAATATCTCCACCATGTTGAATACACAGCCGTAGTCTTTGGATAAATGACCGTTGCACATCCTTCAGCATGTGTTCCCTTATATTCAGAAAAGCATCCTCAATCCTTTCCTTCATATTTTCCGGGGTAGATGGTGCATATCTATAAACCTCTTGCTTAACGTAGCCCCATAGAAAGAAGTCCATCGGTGTCACATCTGTAGATCTAGGAGGCCAATATATAGGCCCATCACGACCGATCCATGAGTGTTACTCCAGGTGACCAAATAGTTACGCACACCATTATGGTAGCAAAGGCAAATGCGTGATCAAAAAGGATTCTGTACCTGTTAATCTGTTATCGAAAAAGAAAGGCCCGATAACTTGTTAGCCAATAACTGATTCCCAAACATTCAAGCTCCATTTATTTTGGAAATATATTTGCCCAACCCAGTAAGGGTTTTCCGTCGCATAATAATTCATGTTGTTCCTGTAGACAACACCTATGCTGTTAAAAGTTGCCTCATCGCTAAAAAGAACCTTATCGAGGAAAGTAGTGTCTTCACTCACTTTAGCATTATTCTACTAAACTCCATTCGAGCTGCGAAATCCTGAGAACGAAGGTCTTGATGCAAGCATAGGTGATATGGATGATACCTACGCTTGTGAATAATCCTTTGGACAGAATTTTTGCATATATCAGGTTCTGCTACAATTTGCCGTGCACTTAAATGGTGATTTTCCTGCAACTTTAATAGAACCTCCAACTGATTCGCCTCATTGGTGACACTTAGATCATTTATACATTTTTTTACTATATTCCACTGCTCCACTTGACTCAAAACGTTCTAGTAGTGTGGAAAATGTTTCCGGCCTTGGACGTTGCATATTGCGGTACCGTTGCTTATAAATGCGAGATGCTAGGAAACTATTTCTTTGGGCTTCGCCCAAAACGAACACCATATTCACCATTCCTTCTCTAGAAAAATTCATTTTCAAACACGTTTTTATTATAATGGTCACAAAGCTAATTTTGGCAGTTTGTAACTGATCAACAATTTATTTGTTTCCAAGGATGAAGCGATATTTGGTGCTGTTGCGTCCTGTAGAACTTTGGATTCCACTGTTTTTCCTCTTAAAACTTTTAGAGGGTAGTCTGATAGATTATTTAGAAACAAAAAAAGTGTGGATGAAGCACGCTTTTCATGAAATTTTTGTTCCAAAACGCTGAATTTTCAGCTGTTTTTCTACCATTATTTCCACCGCCATCTGCCATATGATGTGGACGTCTGTGCATATGTCATATTATATGAGAGGCGCTTGCCTGTGGTGTTGCCGGATTGGGCTTCGTATTTAGGGAAAAATACAAAAACGAAAAACTGAAATAAACAACAGTAGCAAAATAAAAGGCGATTCCTAATAAGTATAAATCAAAAAAGTTTTTTGCAAAAGGTTGAAAACATACAAATACATACAAATGACCATTAGTCACCCAGCAGTGTTTATTTACAGAGGTGGACAAGGGTTAACTATAATTTTGTCTGTGAGGCAGCTATCAATTGCAGCATTTTTCTGAACAATGTAGGATGTAGTTAGAGTAAAAAAGCTCCATTACTCATCTCTAAAGTTACTTCAATAAAGTAAGGTGATTTCTAATTTTATCTATTTCATTCATTACAGTCCCCCATGGGGGTTTCCACAAATCCAAATTGCTTCCCCAACGAATATGCCAAAATGCAAGAAGCTCATATACAAAGGCCGATGTCTGCAGCACCACCTGGTTACTATCATGTAAGTAACTACTATGTTATGTATCCATATAATTGTAAGATGCGGAATCTATAAGCTTACTCGACATAGTTTACCAAACGTATCCAAGTGTCAGTATTGCAATTTTTCTTGTATATGATGCCGACTGCGTTGGATAATCTCGATAACCACCTCCAAAACTGCCATCCTTCTGACTAGTAGTAAGCTCCCTACGAGTACACTACGTACGGACGTGTTGGACGGATATACACTTGTCGCTATACTCCTGTGTCAGCTGACGATGAATGTTCACGGTTGGACGACTTCGTATCAGACGGCAGCTGAGCCAAGAATGAGCAGCAGAGCAGCGCAACAAAGCCGGGCGGGAAGATCGGGAGTGGGAGAGATGAATCGCGCTGCGGTGTTGTCGGATTTCGCCTCGGACCTTCCAGTGAGGTTAGAACTTTTTGGGAACCGTATTTTTGGATCAACCCTCGTATGTAGCACTGACTGAAAAAAAAACAGTTCATACAATTTGCGTGTTTTCAATGCAGAAAATTTTTATCGAAAACAAATACTTCCACATTATTTCAAAAACAACTAATAGAATAGAATTTCTCAAGACAACTGAAATTAAGTATAGTCAACGCCAAACAAAGTGGCGTGCACGTCATCACGATAAAAATTCCCCGACCTAATGCCTAGGTTTGTATCACAAACAATTGCTCTATTGCAGTTTCATATTAATGTGATATATAAATTGTAAAATGGTCATTACTCTCTTATTATGGTTAATAGTCATATAAACATTGTTATTAAAATATCACATAAGTTGCTTTCTGATAAATTTAGACGCATTATGCGAAATAAAATGTTTTGCAAACGCTCCAATCACTTATCGACATGTAAACGCACTAAACCGATTTCGCAGCGTTGACACATTGTCACCTTGAAACTTATTTAAACTGGGAATTGACATTTGTATTAATTTTGACACTGAATCAATTTGTGGCATTTCAAATCTTTATAAATCCTTTGGCCCCGCATACTGTAAATCAACAACTGTTTGTTTCAAAACAAAATTATTCGTTTTACGAGTAGATAAAGGCAATTTTGGTATATAAAGATGCCCAAACAGTTAAATAGTCGGTGTAAGGAACTCGTGGCCTCGTTAATGCACTACTTTGAGCAAGAAAGGGACAACAACGGGCCTTTAAATGCTGTTCAAGAGGTAGGTTACTAATAATTATATGTAATGTATATTAATAATAGTGAAATTTTATTTCATTTTTTGTAGCGTGTTGCTGCTGCTTTAAAAATTAGTTTAAGTACAGTTAGTCGTATTTCCGAGGGTGTGAAAAGTGATGCAAATTTAGAATCGCCCAAGAAAAAGCGGAGTTATATTAAACGTGTAACCAACACAGCGACATTGGATACAAGTGCCATTCGAGAAGTGATCTATAATATGTATCACAAAAGTAAGATCTTATTATAATAACTTATCAGAAATTTGCATTAATTTGTTAACTAAATTATAATGTCATATTATACATGGTTTCAGAAGAACAAGTTACGATACAAACTTTATGGTCTCGATTAAGAGATAGGGCATTATTTGATGGTAGTGCCACGTCTTTAAGGCGGTTGCTTAGAGATCTTGGATTTAAGTGGCTTAAGGACAATCCGCGACGAGGGCTCATGGAACTACCAAGTATAGCTTTGAAAAGGGTGGAATTTCTAAGGCAATACAATCAAGCCAAGGTTGAGGCCTTATACCAGTTTGTCTTCCTCGATGAAACTTGGATATTTCAAAATGGGACCATAGGTCGCTCTTGGCAAAATGGAAACCAAAAAAGCGTGAAAGCTATTAAAACAGATGGTAAAAGGTATGTACTTTTACACAATTTGCACTATAAATTTAAAACTAATATATTTTAGATACATTATATTACATGCTGGAAATGAAAATGGGTTTATTGAGGGTAGTGAAGCGATATTTTCTTCGAAAACAAAATTGAGCGATTACCATGGAGAGATGAACCAGGACAATTTTTTGAAATGGTTTCAACATCAGTTATTAGAAAAATTGGAGAGTCCATCTATGATTATACTGGATAACGCCCCTTATCACAGCATGATATTGAACAAAGTGCCCAACAATGCATGGACAAAAAAAATATCCAAGACTGGTTGACAAATCAAAACATACCATTTTTAAACACAATGTTTAAAACAGAGCTATTGAGTATTGTTGCTCGGTACATAATGCTTCTTAATTATATATATTTTGGTCGACAGTTTATATTTCATTTGTTTATTCCTATTCTTAAAATAACTGCTTTTTTAGAAACAAACCACCTAAAATATACGTGATTGATGAATTGGCGGAACAACATGGGCACAAAGTTCTTCGTCTGCCTCCTTACCATTGTATATTTAACCCTATTGAGTTAATTTGGGGCATAGCAAAAGGTTACTATAACAGACATATTGGTAGAGATGGTAACAGTGAAAAAGACTGTTTGGATATGTGGAACGAGGCTCTACAAACGGTTACCCCAGACATGTGGAAAAATAGTGTTCGACATACTGAGCAAGATATTTTTAAATAGTATGAAAGAGAACGAATTTTTGATCGACCAGACATCGAACCTTTAATAATCAACTTTGAGAGTGATGAAGATTCAGATTCAGACAGCGCTGAAGAAAGAAACTCCGACTAACTTTATTGTACAGAAAAAGCTTACACCAGTAGCTTACCTAATTTTAGAATGCATTTTTCTGTATGAATTCTGTAAAATAAATACCATGCATAAAATTTGGAGGACCCCATTTGGATTTTTATTCAGTACCTTTAAGCTATCAATTAAATATGGTAGTTTCATAGTGTCATCTGATCAATAATTGTCATACTTAATGATTATGCAAGTACAGATCTATAATTTTATTATACTATTATTTTTGTTCTCATTTGAGGTTAATATTGCTTATAAACCTAGATATGTAAATAATAAATTTTATTATTTTACAAAAAGTTTGGCAACAATGTAAATTTTTCAACACACCCACCTTGATGACGTGCACGCCACTTTGTTTGGCGTTGACTATAACTCAGTTCTTCAATAATTTTTCGAAAAAGTCATTGAAGTCAAAAATCGATTCACATGTCTCCACGTCTCTGTCTCAACGTAGATCACAGAAATAAGCAAAAGGATCAGGGTGAATAGGAGGGTTTTCGGCTCCAAAAATAATACTGGCTTCAAGTTATTATTACAAAATAGAAATACTCATGTAAAAAAGGAAAACGTAATATACGGATAAGTAGTGTAAAATACATTAAATAAAAATAAAAGTTCATGGCTATAAAGTTTGTTCACTGTCCAACCATCGTGATACACTTTGAAGCTATTGACTGACGTGGCACACTTTCTAATAAAGTGTTCAGAATGTCGCATATGCGATCGGGACGAAACCTCTGTCGTTCTAAACGACTCCCTTTGCAGTTTAAATCTGTGGCCGCGACAGTTGGTGAAGGTGCTTCGGATTGGTGCCAAACAAGTCATAAGGTATTCTAAATGTAACTATGAGATGCCTCGAATTCTTCGGTGGGAGATTGTGGTCAAATGGAATAACTCGAGGCGATCTTCATAGCTGGGCCTGGGAACTCCAAATGGGATTCGAGTTGCCCAATGCTGTACTGCTTCAGGGAGATTTCTGTCGGACACAAGCATAGTTTCGCATAGAGGGCGAGCAAAATTCAAGAATTGCCTTTACAAATGTCTCGTAAATGAAAGCGCAAGTGTTGATGACGGATTTTTTGGAAGACCTCTCCAGAATTTTACACAAAGTGCCAAAATTGCAGACTTGGGCTTTTAAAGAACCAGTAAGAACTAACATAAAAAAATGCTGACGAAATTTCGAAATACATAGGTTCTAAAATATTTAAATGCAAAGATTTCATAGATGCGCTAAACTTGAAATTTTAACCACAGGCTTCGAATTTCATGTGCGTCCAGGGGGCCCTTTAAAGCTCAAGTAAGCCCTGCCTGTAAAACTATGTCACTAGCTTGACACTACCCTCAAAGGAACGTGAACTTGCAAAAACGTACGAAAACAGAGAGAACGTGCTAGAATGAAGCTTTTTGTTCATTTTCGCAACATTCCAAAGAAAGTATCAAAAACTTCTGAATATAAAATTTACGATTACAATATTTGCATTGTCTATGTCATGTGAAACCTATTTGACAACAATAACAGTATATATAATTTTAAAATAGCTTTTATATCACCGGATTAATGAGAAAAAAGGCGTCTAGTAGGTTGACTTTGCGCTTAGTACGCAACGATGTCGTCAGTTCATAAAGGATCATGTTCGGCCCATATTTGTCCCTTTGTGCTAGATACAAGCATGTACGAGGCGTGTCTCTTATGCAGAGGGATTTGACTAAATGAAACAGCTTAGGCAAACGAGAGAATATTTATTGTTTTTCGGAGGATTCGCCTTTAAACTCGATACATTTTTGCATTCGAACAAACCAATCTGTAAAGTAGTAATTCCACTCTGAAGTTGGCCTCTGTATAAGCTTCTACCGCTTCCTCTGGCGACTAAAAACGCTTCCCACGCAATTTATTCTTAACTTTGGGGAAAGTATAAAAGTCATTGGTGCTTAAGTCAGGTGAATATGGTGGGTGATCTAAAATCTCGACATTCTCAGAGTCCAAAAATTCAACTGTGCGACGAGCAGTGTGTGTGGTTGCGTTATCGTGATGAAGAAAGATTCGGCGATTCTTATTTGTTTTTCGCCAGTTTGGTAATAAAGCGAGGTAAGCAAATAGTATCAATCTGCATTGACCGATTGGCGATCCTCAAGGTCAATTGTGGCGACATGGCTACAAAACTGGCGACCATTTTCTTAGAGACGCTTCTGGAACGAATTACTTCTGTTGGTTTCACGTCATCCTGAAATACCGAAACTGCGGATTGAGGCTTACTTTCGGGTTCATAGATATATATCCATGGTTAGTAACCACTTACAATATTA